TATGGAGAGAGAGACAGGAAAAGAGGAAGGGAGACTCTCCGTTAGTAGTCACCTTTTAAGTTTCTTACATCTAATTTTTTGCTTGGCAAATGCCTATATGGATTCTAATGAAGGTTTCAAACAAACACCCTCATTTGTGTGTTCCACAACACCCACCCGCCCCAGCCTTGTTTCACTTCTCTCTCTGGGTGCTGCTTGTGATGGAAAACCCTCTAGTCTTAATTTAGTATTTACAAGATGTGCACACATTCATTCATAGCAAATTCTCAGGATTATTTCCTCAGGGCTGAGCCCCTTATGTATAGTACTCCCCCTCCTCCTTGCATTTTCCTCTTCCTTTCCTTGCTTCTTTCATCTGGGAAACTCCATGGTTTTATCCCGTCACTCTAAGTAAATGTCATTGGGACCTGGATTTCGGCAGACTGCAGAAAGGTTGGTTACCAGCAGGGGGCGCACTAAGCGTCTCGAGCCGATTTTGTGTTTAGGGAAGGCCCTGGAATCTTTTTCTTTACCTATTTACTTATTTATTTTTTTCTTTCCAACATTTGTTTTAGGTGCAGGGGTACGGGTGCAGGTTTTTTATATAGGGAAATTGTGTGTTGCTGGGGGTTTGGTGTACAGGCTGTTTTGTCAGCCAGGTAATAAGCATAGTACCCGATAGTGTTTCAATCTCACCCTCTTCCTACCCTCCACCTTCGAGTAGGCCCGCGTGTCTGTTGTTCCTTTCTTTGTATCCATGTGTATTCAATATTTAGCCTCCATTTGGTTTTCTGTTCCTGCAGTAATTCTTTCAGAATAATGGCCTCCAGCTCTATCTATGTTGCTGCAAAGGACATAATCTCGTGGTTTTTTTTAATGGCTGCATAGTATTCCATAGTGTATGTATACCACATTTTCTTTATCCAGTCCACTGTTGATAGGTTGATTCCATGTGTTTGCTGTTGTGAACAGTGCTGTGATGAATATACGTGTGCATGTGTCTTTGTGGTAGAATGCTTTATATTGCTTTGGGTGTATACCCAATAATGGGATTGCTAGGTTGAATGACGGTTCTATTTTAAGTTCTTTGAGAAATCCCCAGATTCCTTTCCACGGTGGTTGAAGCAATTTACATTCCCACCAACAGTATGTAAACCTTCCCTTTTCTCCACAGCCTCGCCAGCACTGTTATTTTTTGATTTTTTAGTAATAGCCATTCTGACTGGTGTGAGATGGTAGCTTATTGTGGTTTTGATTTGCATTTCCCTAGTGATCAGTGATATTGAGCATTTTTTCATATGCTTGTTGGTCACGTGTGTGTCTTCCTTTGAGGAGACACTGGAACTTACCAAATAGCTTATTTTACTGTTATGTATGTCTAGTAGAATGTAATGGAAATTTTAATTCCATGCGTTATTAAATTTATTTTAATAGTATAAAATATCATTTTTAATAACTGAATTAATAATTGCATTTAAACTTAATTAGCATAGGTTTTTTTTTTTAAAACTGCAAATAATGCTTTACACCAAAATGCTGACAATGATCAGATTAGGGTTAGAATATATATGATTGTATGTGGTGATTACTATTTTAGGAAGTAACTAGAGCTGGCATCTGTGGGTGCTGCAGACGATTCTTAACGAACCCAGACAATTTGCTCTTCTAAACGGGGCCTTGCGGTTGTCTAACAGTGAGAATAGATGATTAACTGAATTTGTGCCTGCTTTCTATCATAATAACGACGCAGAATTGCCACCGTTATGTGGCTTGGAAATCTTAAATTCATCAGCACTCATGAAAGAAAAAAACAAAAAGTGAACCGAAGATACTTGGAGAGCCTGGGCGCTTTCAGCACAAGGCGGCTGGGTCGGCTCCCATTCCTGTGTCCGCAGCGCCCTCGTGTGGTGAAAGGTGTCCAGGCTTCCTGGCCGCCTTTTAGGCCAGTGTACCCATCGGTCCTCACTTCCCAGTACAGTAGCTGCCTTCCTGGGTCACACTCCATCGGAGGTCACAATCTGCCAGGAGGTTAGCCACCCGCTGTGGTTGTCTTGTAGTTTTGCGCAATAAGTTACTGGCTAGGAGTACTTGTAATAAGTCCTGAGTAGGACATGGCGATTCCATTCCTTACCCACGATGTGTACACACAGTTATCCTCAACTGGTTAGTTGGAACGTGGCGTTTATTTCCACAAAGCAGCAGTTTTCTAAAGGACGATTTAGAACCCAGTGCATCCATGGAGACCTCCTTACTTCAGTCTGTAGCTGTGATCATGCCCTGTAGGAGATTTCTGAGTTTTGAAGACCCGGTAGGTACTGGAGAACCATTTGCATTGCTAAAGCACCACTGTAGGCGCGGGAAGGGGTTGGAAGGGCTGGCTTACCGCTGAAGGAGGACCAGACATGGCCTAGTCATCAGCGGCATAGGGGGAAAAGTTATGGGGTTAGTCCTTACCCGCTGCCCTGCTCTGCCTCCTGCAGAGACTTCAGACTTCTTATGCCTCCTGCACAAGGGAAGCAGCCAGGTAAGTAGGAATAGGTTTCTTTGGTTCCTAACTTGAGACGATTTTTTCTCCAAATTCCTTAGACTCACAGTCTATGCTGTTGATTTACGGAGGCAGTAGTGAGGCCCCGTATCCCGATGCCTCCTACCTTGAGACCTGGACAGAGGATTGCCCTGTGAAATTCAAACCTTAAATCAGTAGGTATCAGCAGAGACAGGCATGGTGCCTTACAGATCAAGAATACAGATGGCCTCCCTATTCACGGAGGGGCCTGCAACCTTTATATAGCTCTACATACACCCGCTCCCGTGTGTGCAGATGCTTCTCGACTTACCATGGGGTTACCTCCCAATAAACGCATCGTAAAGTCAAAAAGTTGTAATCTGCCTGGATATATGTATTAGTCTGTTCTCACATTGCTCTAAAAAAATACCTGAGACTGGATAATTTATGAAGAAAAGAGGTTTAGGCTGGGCGCGGTAGTTTACACCCTGTAATCCCAGCAGTTTGGGAGGCCGAGGGGAGCAGATCACCTGAGGTTAGGAGTTCGAGACCAGCCTGGCCAACATGACGAAACCCCATCTGTACTAAAAATACAAAAATTAGCCGGATGTGGTGGCACGTGCCTGTAATCCCAGCTACTCAGGAGACTGAGGCACGAGAATCGCTTGAATCTGGGAGGCGGAGGTTGCGATTGCAGTAAGCCGAGATTGAATCACTGAACTCCAGCCTGGTCAACAGAGTGAGACTCTGCCTCAAAAAAAAAAAAAGAAAAGAAAAGCGGTTCATGGTTCTGCAGTCTGTACAGGATACATAGAGGCTTCTGCTTCTGGGGAGGCCTCAGGAAGCTTCCAATCATGGTGGAAAACAAAGGAGGTCCAGCTTCCTACATGGCAGAAGCAGGAGCAAGAGAGCTAAGGGGAAGTGCCAGACACTTTTAAGCAACCGGATCTCGCAAGAACTCGCTCACTATCACGAGAACGAACAGCACCAAGGCGATGGTGCTAAACCATTCATGAAAGATCCACCTCCATGACTGAATTCCGTCCCGCCAGGTCCCACCTCCAACAATAGGGATTACAATCCGACATGAGATTTGGTGGGGACACAGACCCAAACCATATCATGTATCATATTATATATGTATATGTAATATTGAAGGAGTTGAGATCACATGACCCCCAAACATGCCGCTCCAGCATATTGACTTTTTTGAGTTAAGGACACTTGAAAAACAGAGGCGCAAGAGGATCACTCTGCCCTTCCTTCTGTTTCTTACAAGCAGGAGACGAAATTCCTGTGTACAAGATGTCTCCCAGTACCAGAAGGAAAATGTCATGCTTATTATCAAGGACAGAAAGTTGAGGCCGAGGGAAATCTGTACAAACTCTGTCAAACCAATCCTCATCTTCCCTGTCCCTCTCTACTCGGTTAAGTACCCTAGTCCTACCACATCTTTGCCCAGTTCTGTATATAAGTGTTCAACTCTAATTGCATCTTCATTTTGTCACGAAGGTTCCTGTGCCACATAAAGGTTATATTCAACAAATATGTGTACATTTCTCCTGTTGATCTGTCTTATGCCAATTCAATTATCAGGCCCAGCCGAAAAACCCTAAGAGGGTAGAGGTGCTATTTTGCCTCCCTACAATATAATCCACATAACCACCTTATATATGTATATGTATGTGTGTGTGTGTGTGTATAAAAAGAAATCATATTATATATATAATACAATCTCTGTATCCCTCATATATATTTCTGTATATGTGTGTGTGCACATATAAAAATATATATGGTTAAAAGCTAGGTGGTTCAAAGTCCTACCTTCAGAATCAGAAAGATTTCAAACCCAGCTGCTTTACATCCTCTGGTGTGACCTTGAGATAATTTTGTCTCTCTCTAGTTCTCCATTTCTTTGGGTAAAATGGGGCTCATGATAGCGCCTCCCTCAAAGTTGTGAGGATTGAGTTCATCCCTGAGGCAAGTGTTGGCGGTGCCCACGTTCAAGGGTGGGAAGGCAAGGCACAGTCAGTGGCAGTGAGATCAAGACCCCATTAGCAGGCTGCCTGTCTGTGGAGGTGGCAGCATTGAATGTGTGAATCATGACTGCCTTCTCTTGGGTGATGTCCCCACTCTTCAAAGAACCTTCAGATTGTAACTTGGGTTCCACTGCAGCTTAGCTATAAGGAAAGTGTGTCTTGCAAGTTATACATTTCTCATTGTATATCCACACATTGACTTTTCTGTTAATTTATGACTCTCATGGCAAACTGCACCGTATAGAAGATCTGTCATCCCTGTGATGATGGAATCAGGATTTTGAGACTGGGAGTCAAGAGGTGGACCTGAGTTTGCCAGTATGCTGCCTCCCTTTGAGTCTTCTGGGAGATATTTCTTGGTGTCACCTTGTGCTGCTTTCTTCTACTATAATAGTTTCATACTTAATATGAGCCAAAGAATAAACAGACTCAGAGACTAATGAAGCCTCCATTTAAAAGATAACTCTCTCTTTTAGGATACCTGGGATGAACTCCTAATTGGCAGTGTAGAAGTGAAAAAGATAATGGCATGCCCCAGGTAATGAGCCTTGCTAGACCCCAGGACTGTGGTGTGGCCCACCCATTGGTTCCTAACCATCACCTAACCCTTGGTTATTCCATGACAGATGTATTTTGACCACGGTGGACCCAGACACTGGAGTCATAGACAGGAAAGAGCCACTGGACACCCTGAAGAGGTAGAATACCACCACGGCCAGTGTATTTTAAAAATTATCTCCACCCCAGAACTACCTATGGGTTTAGGTGCTATGTCTGCTTTAGGGAAGATATGACCTTTCTCTCTGGAGCACCTTCCACTCTACCTTCTGACTGATTTGTGTCTATTGGTTAATGAGAGCACTGTTGCTTTCTCTCTTTTCCTGGATGGATCCTCTAGTGCTTTGGATAAACTCTTTTTTTTTTTTTTTTTGAGAGGAATCTCATTCTTTCCCCCAGGCTGGAGTGCAGTGGCGTGGTTTTAGCTCACTGCAGCCTCTGCTTTCTGGGTTCAAATGATTCTCCAACCTCAGCCTCCTGAGTAGCTGGGACGACAGGTGTGTGCCACCATGCCTGGGTGATTATTGTATTTTTAGTAGAGACAGGGTTTCACCATGTTGGCCAGGCTAGTCTCAAACTCCTTGCCTCAGTGATTTGCCTGCCTCCCAACATGCTGGGATTACAGGCATGAACCACCGTGCCCAGCTTTGATAAACTTTTAATTGTATAATACTACATTTTAAAATTTTAATATCTCTCATATCAATTTTTAATAATATTTATATGTGCCTTTCCAAATTTAGGCCTCAAACACTTTATTTAATAATGTTTATTGCAACTCAGATTCCTTCATTAGAATCAATATCAAGGAATATGAGAATAATTGAAACTGCATAATGAAATATTAGAAAAAAATGAATGTCATGAATTGTCAGAGATTTTTTATTGAGGAGCTTTTTTTATGCTAAGGATTTCTCTTGTTTTGTTATTTAAAGAAGTTTGGCTGACTTTAGTTCCCAATGAAGATAGTAATTTAGACTTAACATTCTTTGGAGCTATATTCTATTTTGTTTCTCTTTCCTTTGTTTTGTGGATTGTTTCCAATGGGTTTAGCTTAGAGAAGAGGTTATTTCATGATGCTTTCAGATTTACAATTCTATTAGATGTAGTGATAATTATTTAAGATGCTGTGAAATTTATTACTTTTTTTAGACAGGACAGTGGGAAAAGACTAACTTCTGCAGTAGTCCAGACCCACCTGACAACTGCATGTCTGTCTGAATTTTTGCTCACCAGCGAACCCCAGCTTTGGGCTTATAAACCGGGAGGGGGTTGAACGCATGGTGCTTAAATGCACTAAACAGAAGATTTGTAGAGTTCAGGGCCATTCCATTTTGTGTTTTCAGGGGCATTTGTTTCAATGAGTTGTGAAGTCGAAGGTACCCATATAGACGAAGTATTTATTTTATACGTACACATACATTTTTTCTTTTCGGCCTGAAACTGAAGCCATGGAGAAATTGCATAGACTTTCAGGATACTTCTAGAAAAGCTAGAATTATTTGCAGTTTGACTAATTGTCCACAGACTTCTCTGTCAACATTTTAGAAAAGGTTTGCTGTGTATTTATAAATAAGTTGGAAGGCAAACTTGAGTTCTGTTGAGAATATTTCGATTATTATTTCCTTCTTGTGTCTGATGATTGAATTTTTGCTTATTTCAGCTACCGCCTGTGTGATCCTTCTGAGAGGGAATTATACAAGTCGTCTCCGCTTTTTGGAATCTATTATTCAGTGGAAAAAATTGGAAGCCTGAGAGTTGGTGACCCCGTGTATCGGATGGTGTAGTGACGGATCCACTAGGGTAATATGGTAAAAGGTCAGCTTTGCTTCTGAATACACTGTCTTGGAGCCATTGCTGCATTTTCTTATGTGTGTGTGTGTGTGTTTTTTTAATGTTATGCTGCTTTAATTCTTGAGAGAATAAGCAGTTTTGTATTCTGATCTTTGGAGTTGGACAATGCCCTTAATTTCTGTTCCCTGCAGTAATCTGTGTACTCCTACCTCAACCTTCTCCACCCTTATTTCCCATTTAATGGTAAAATGCTGATGGAAGAGGCTCAGCAGAAAGACAGGTATATGTTCACAGCTTATTACAGAACATCATTAAGGAATAGGGAAATAAAGGTGACTGATTTTCAAGAGTTTTGTATTTATTTTTTCTGTCTCAGATAGAAGAGGAAATGTTTAAATTATTCAACATCAACTTGGGAAAATGTTTAAATTGGATGCTTTTTATCAAATGTATTTTTAAAGTATAATTGAAGTTTGAAAAAAAAAATCAGTGCATCAAGGTGACTGGGTCCTGAATCATGAGTTAGACAATAATGTTCTCACATTGATTTCATCGTGTCCAATACAGCCCTGACTCCTGGAGGCAAAAGCCTAACTCCCAAATTAAAGGAATGAGAAAGTTGGTCAGAAGACCTCAAGTTGGAGATTTTAAGCAAGTTCTCTCATAAAATCCATGACCCAGTTCTTAAGGTCACCTCATCTCCAAAACTCTTGACCATCCTTCTCTCTGTTTCTGGCCTGAGCTTCTCACGTGTGTTACTTGCTCTTGCAGTCCTGACATCCACAACCTGACCGTCCTTAAGGACAGGGTAACATAGTAGCTTAGAAGGTCTAGATCTAGCATTAGATAGACTTGGGTTGGTAATCCAAGCATCTTCCTAAGTTGAATGAGATGTTTAACTTCTCTTTAAGTCTCAGTACCCTTATCTGCAAAGTGGGAATAATAGCACTTACCAAAGCAACCAACACAAGTTATCTTGAGTATTAATTCATATAAAGTTTCAGCATTGCAACACAAATAAAGTGCTCAGTAAATATTAGTTATGTTTTTTATTGCCATCATTCCATCATGATCTAGTCTTAGGTTCCATAGTGGATATAAACATGACACCGGCTTTTCCCTTGAAGTGGGCAAAAAGGAACTACACCTCTATTGACTACTATTATGACTAGGTATTTGCATAACCATTACCATATTTCATCAGTTCTGAGATCCTATTCTAACATCTCTGATATCAGTCAGCTTCTTATAACATTCAGGGTGCCTTTTGAAAAATATCAGTGGTGCATAAAATTATCAGTGATGCATAAAATAATGGTGCATTTTACAATTGGTATATCTTGGATTTGATGAAATATAATAAGTATTAATACTAGAGAGGAAACTGTGAAGCTCCTAAGTGCCTGGCATTTCTAAAAGCCCCATGTGGGGAGAGTGGACCCAAGCCTGAGCCATCTAGCTTGAGTGAAACTGATCCTGTGTCCTGCTGTTCCAGTCATGATTGACTGGACCTGGATCAATGTGTGAGCCAAGGGCTTTCACGTGTTCTCTGCATCTGAGGGAGCCCAGTGGCTGTGAGATACCTTAACAACTGAGGGTTTTCCATGTCACTTGGTCACAAACTCGTCTAACCAGATCCTGTTTTGCAGTGGATGGAGGCAATGAACATCTGTGGTTTATTCAGCCTCAATTTCCAATTGTCTCTGCTCCCCAGAAGGCCTTGTGTAATCTTTATCTGTGAGAGGATCTCTGTGAGATAGATATGATAATAGGCATTTTATGAATGAGAAACAAAGGCTCAGCTAGGTCAGCTGATGTATGGTCTGGGAGCTGATGTGAATTAGAGCTAATAGGCCATGCTTTCTGCACAGCACTGCACCATACATTTATATGTATAACCTCAATAAGTGACTGTTTTGTGGGAGTTTGAATTATTTATGAACAGTAGGATAAATAACCAAATAACCAGAGATTCTTATTATTTGTTCAGGCTTCAGCAACCAGGAGGGATTGACTGAGATCTTAACAACAGCGGCAGCAATACCTCAGCAAATCCTTATTATCCAGCCTTCAACTATCTTTACCCTGGAAAACAATCTCGATTTTTGACTTTTCAAAGTTGTGTATGCTCCAGGTTAATGCAAGGAAAGTATTAGAGGTGGGAATATGAAGGTATATGTACAGATTTTAGGTACTGAAGGCTTTAAAAATAATTAACATCATCAAAAATGCTATTTTGAATGTTATCATGGCTATTATGCTTTTACTTCCTGACTTTTTGATGAATAAAGCAAGTTTAATGAATCAACTAAAAAGCTGCAAAAATGTTTTTAAAATGTGTTCCTTTTATTAACTATCAGGATTACCTGATGTGCAGGACACATGTTACCACACTCACAAATGCCTAATGTTGGTCTTTACGTGGCCATTGAGTCCTGTTGACTTTTCACTCATGTGCTCTAGCATTATGGAATCTGGGCTGTACTTGAGTATGGAAATTCTCTTATAGACTTAGTTTTAATATTCTATTACACCTTTATTAAGCCATATAAAAGTCATCTGTTTGTGTGTAACTGCTAGACACACCACCTGGAATTCCAAGTAAGATAAAGAAGAGGATGACATTTAAAAGAGGATGGAATTTTAAGAGTAGGATTGCAAGGAAGACAGCATGAACGTATTTTTTTCAATGCAAATAATTTTTTTGTAACAAAAAAACCAAACTACTTTGGTATGATCTTAAGCAAAAATACTCACTGAAATAGTATATGGATGATTTCACCTACTTACAATTTTACGGTTTCTTTGTAACTAATAAACATGAATCTCAATCCTGCTTTATCTGTGGTATTTATGAGTCTTCTTCCTGGGCTTCTCTCTTTATATTAGAATTTGAGTCACTGCAATTTATTTTTCCTTACACTTTCTGATTGCCTCCAGAGACACAATCTGACTCCACAAACACTGGCTTCTGTCATTGGCAGGGGGCGAGGGCATTGTGAGCTGCAGGCACACCGGTGTCCTGTCTGTGGCAGGATGGCCAGTGTCTGCAAGGGGCCTTCCTAGTGGTCAGTGAGGAGTGGTTGTTCCCTCCTCCTCTATTTTCCTTTGCTGGGTTCTGGGACTGAAATTCACCACCATCCCCCGCACCCTGTGAGGTAAAAGTGATAAGCGAGCTGTAGCCCTGGGTAAATTCTGGAAGTGATGAAATGGAAAAATCAGAACTTTAAAGTCATCCATTAAAATAGGGGAGCCATTTTTTCCTCTTAAATTTTCAAAGAGGAATTCAGGAGGGAGATAAACAGAAACACATATTTGGTGCCCTGGAGCTGCCTTTCCGAGGAGGATCAAGTGGTGCATCCTGCTGAGCTGTGTCCTTTACAGACAGGGTGTGACCTGGGGTTGGAAGAGAAGAGAAGAGAGCAGAAACACAGGACAGATAAGTGTTCAGGCCAGTAAAGACAGAGCCTCCCTGAGCACGGAACTGCTCTGCAGTAAGCTGCCATCTGGAGGAGAGGGTTGTTCTTTTCTCTTGGCGAACTCCCGCTTCTCTCATCCAAGGCACCCTTGCCCTGCATGGACAATTCTGGCTGAGTCTTGAAATGTACACTCCTGGCTCAGGGGACCATGGCTGAGCTGGGGATGACACAGGCTCTCGACCAAACTTCGGTCTCCTCTGACCCCTTTTCTTCATGAGGCCTTGACTTTGCCACCCTACTCCCTGCAGAGCCCAGTTTAGCAAGAATCCTGCTTAGTCAGTTTCCAGAGTATTCTCCCATCCTTGATATCTGATCACCCTTGATATCTGCTCAGATTCCTCATCTGTCACCCTCAGTGTATAAGTCCTTGCCTAGTTCAGTAGAATCCTGTTAAGTGGGTTTATCAATAATCCTCTATACCTGATGTCTCCTCTTAGTGATTTTCCATTCACTGACCTGAAGAACTCTGCTCTTTGGCTATAAACCCCCAGCAGTCTTCGCTGTAATACAGAGCTGAGCCTAATCTCTTTCCCCTATTGTGATGCCCCTGTTACAATAGCCGTGAATAGTCTTCCTTACCTTTTTAATAAGCGTTTGAGTAATTTTTTCCTTTGATAGCTTGGTACATCAAACAGGAGCCTGACTCCTAAACCCTGCTGTTCGGGTATGCTGATATTGTTGACTGGAATATAACCTGATTTGGAAGTGACAAGTGACTGAGGTGAGTGCCTGCTTCACCAGGTGACATTCCCTCCCGCCAGAAGCAGCCTGGGGACCTTGTGCAGTGCTAAACTTCTGAGCCAAGGCCTTGCCAAAGCAGCTGCAGCTCGAGGTTCCCCGCCGGGAGCGTAGAAGGCGCTCTCAGACGCCCATTGCTGCTCAGAGCTGCCGCCGGGAGAACTCTGGCCTGGTCTCGCTGGCGCAGAGGGCCTGGTAGCATCCTCCTCCACCAGACCCCTACTCTTTGGAAGCTCCCTAGACCCTGGGCAGCCTGCGGGGAGGGCAGCCGCAGCAGAGAGCTGGACACTGCGCAGTCCAGGCAGGGCCGACCCGCTCTCTACTATTCCTAGGAGAGGCTGCTGCCCGCTGTCTGATTTTTAATTTCAAAATCACGCTTTGTCCTGCAATGTTGTATATTGTTTATTTTAGGTCAAATAACCCCATAAATACGTAAGTAAATAAACTGATCTCTTGCAGCGATCGTGGGGGAGGGCACAGCGCCCTGCAGCTGCAGGCGACGTAAGGTTGCAGAGGCCGTGGGGCGCAGACCAAGTGGAAGCTGAGCCGCCACCTCCCACTCCCCGCGCCGCCCCCCAGAAGGACGCACTGCTCTGATTGGCCTGGAAGGGTTCGGGAGCTGCCCACCCTTTGGGCTCAGGGCCAAAGGCCGCACCTTCCCCCAGCGGCCCCGGGCTACCAGCGCGCTCCGGCCTTGCCGCCGCCACCTCGCGGAGAAGCCAGCCATGGGCGCAGCCGGTTCCTCCGCGCTGGCCCGCTTTGTCCTCCTCGCGCAGCCCCGGCCCGGGTGGCTCGGGGTCGCGGTGCTGGGACTGACCGCGGTGGCGCTGGGGGCTGTCGCCTGGCGCCGCGCATGGCCCACGCGGCGCCGGCGGCTGCTGCAGCAGGTGGGCACAGTGGCGCAACTCTGGATCTACCCTGTGAAATCCTGCAAGGGGGTGCCAGTGAGCGAGGCTGAGTGCACGGCTATGGGGCTGCGCAGCGGCAACCTGCGGGACAGGTACGGCCGAGCGCGGGCGCGGGGCAGCGCTGATCCGGCTCGGGCAAGGGGCTGAGGAGGGAGGAGTGCAGGGGAGGTCTGCAGAGTCTGCTAACAGGTCCTTCTTCCTATTACAAAGAAACTGGGAGTTGGATGAGACAAGGCCAAAGAGTAAAAGGAACCCTCAGCCCCCAGCATCAGATCCCGGGGCTCTGGGACTCTGAGCGCGTGGACCCATTTTCCCGGGGTGGGCGGATTTCCACCTCCCACTGGCTCCTTGGCGTCATGTGCTCCTGCTGAGGTGTGGTATCGCTCCCAGGTGTCCGCCAGTGAGCAAACTTCTTAATCTCCATTTAGTGGAGGCAGCTAGCTTAAAGAGATTGGTTCCCAGTAGCTTTATTTTGAGTGACTTTCTTGAGATCTTGGGGAAAGCTGGAACTGTAGAGTCCAGCCCTCCAAGAGCGCACCAAGGCGGGGCTCATAATAGTAATGACTGCAGTTCAACGAATACCTTCAGGCGCGGTGGCTCATGCCTGTAATCCCAGCACTTTGGGAGGCCGAGGCGGGTGGATCACCTGAGGTCAGGAGTTCGAGACCAGCCTGACCAAAATGGTGAAACCCCATCTCTACTAAGGAAAAAAAAAAAAAAAAATTAGCCGGGCGTGGTGGCGCGCACCTGTAATCCCAGCTACTCAGGAGGCTGAGGCAGGAGAATCGCTTGAACCCGGGAGGTAGAAGTTGCAGTGAGCCAAGATTATGCCACTGCACTCCAGCCTGGGTGACAGAGGGAGACTAAGTCAAAAAAAAAAAAAAAAAAGTAGGGGATGGCATTGCAGATGCTATTTTCCCCAATTCTCTCAAGAACTCTTGTGGATAAAGAAGCTGAGTTCAGAGCCACACAGCAGCGGAACCAGAACTCTTATTTTCTTTAGCACACTGGGGCTTTGTAAAGAGTGATCTTGTTAATGTTCTCTCTGGGTTCTGAGAGTTGCGTGGATTCCTGGGGTTCAGCGAAGGCTGCAAAACCCGGGAGCCGGCGGCTTTGTCCTCTTTAGGGTCTGGCTTCAGGCCAGCCCCGGGTCTCATTGTGAGGCTGCACTTGAAACTCCTTTCCAGAGAAGCCCTCGCAGCTCAGCAAGTAACACAGGACTCATGGGAGCTGTAACCTTTCTCCTACCAGCTCCCAAGGCAAAGGGCAATTCATGACATAGTTGAAACGTTAGTGATACATGCATCTTTGCTTCAGGAAGAAAACCAAGGATCCTAAATATTCCATGTTTTGGGCCAGGCGCAGTGGCTCAGGCCAGTAATCCTAGCACTTTGGGAGGCCGAGGTGGGCGGATCACGAGGTCGGGAGATCGAGACCATCCTGGCTAACGCGGTGAATCCCCATCTCTACTAAAAAATACAAAAAATTAGCCGGGCTTGGTGGCAGGCACCTGTAGTCCCAGCTACTTGGGAGGCTGAAACAGGAGAATGGCGTGAATCTGGCAGAAGGAGCTTGCAGTGAGCCGAGATCACATCACTGCACTCCAGCCTGGGCAACAGAAAGACTCCGTCTAAAAAAAAAAAAAATCCATGTTTTGTATAGTAGGCTCTGAAAAGTGATAGAATTTACTGAATTAGTTTTTGTAGGCCTGAGAGGCAAAGGGCCCTGGAATTTTACTACGTAGATTCAAAAAGCAGTTTTTGAGCTCATATTACAATAGATGATAAGAAGAGCTGACCTTTGTACCAGACACTATGATAAATTCTTTATTTTCGTTCATCACACACTCCCAGAAAGTGTGATCAAGAGAAACCAACACTGGCTTACAGTCCTAGGTGATAACCAACTAAACAGAGGTTGTGACATGTGCCAGCATGCCAGCATAGAGGTCGCAGTGCTGGAAGCTTGCTGGGGCCATCAGGGACAACTTCAGAGAGGAAGGAACAGCTTGAGGCGAAAACTGGAAAATAATTCAGAACTTGCTGGGCGAGTAAGTTGAGAGAAGAACTTTCCAGAGAGAGAATAAGCTGGACAAAGACACTCGGCTTGAGAGAATGGTGTATGCTGGGGAAAGGCTGGCATAGTCTGTGCCGGGTTGTCCAATCTTTAAGCTTCCCTGGGCCACATCGGAAGAAGAATTCTCTTGGGCCACACACAAAATACACTAACACTAACAATAGCTGATGAGCTAAAAAAAAAAAAAAAAAAAAAAAAAAATCACAAAAAAATCTCATAATGTTTTAAGAAAGTTTATCAATTTGTGTTGGGCTGCATTCAAAGCGTCTTGGGCCACATGTGGCCCATGGGCCATGGGTTGGACAAGCTTACTCTAAGGTATTTACCAAAAGGAACTGGGACATAAATAGGATGAATGTTCTTTGCAGCATTGAGTGTTGAACCTTCATTATGATGTTATTCACAGTAGTCAAAAGGTGGAAACAACTAAGTGTCCATTGATGGATGAGTGGATAAGCAAAATGTGGTATATACACACAATGGAATACTATTCAGCCATGAAAAGGAATGAAGTTCTGATATGTGCTACAACATGGATGGCCCTGGAAAACATAACGCTAATTGAAATAAACTAGACACAAAAGGACAAATATTGCATGATTCTGATTATATGAAATGTCTAGTAGATAAATTTATAGAGACAAAGTGGATTAGATGTTACTGGGGGCAGAGGGAAGGGGAAAATGAGGAGTTATTGCTTAACTGGTACAGAGTTTCTGTTTGGGGTGATGAAAAGGTTTTGCAAATAGTGCTGATGGTTGCACAACACTGTGAATGTACTTCCTGCCACTGAATCGCATACTTCAAAATGGTTAAAATCACATTTAAAAAATTCCATCGTCTGTTGATGGACACTTGGGCTGTTACTACTTTTTTAGCATTTTGAATAAAGCTGCAATAAACATTGATACACAAATACCTGTTTGAGTTCCTGTTTTCATTTCTTTTGGGTCTGTACATAGGAGTATGCATTTTATGTTTTATATCTATTTTACTGCAATTAAAAAAAAATGTATAAAAGACTGGCCTGTGTGAAGACCTCGGGAGGTAAGAGTGGCTGGAGCAGCAGCTGGATCATGAAGGGCTGTGCATGCCCTTGCTTAGGAGTTGGTTTTATCCTGAAAGCAGGAACCGTGGAGGGATTTTGAATGAGGGGGTCTTAAAGTTAGATTTGCATTTTAGAAAGATCTAAACTGCCATTACCAGGAAGAATATTAGGGAGAATATTCACCTGCTGGTCCCAAGGATTTGGGGCAGGGCAGGCCTCTGTCTGTGCAGAAACAAAGTCTGATAAAAGGGCAGTTAGGGAAAGGGCTTATACTGAGCATATTTTTCTAGTGTAGCTGAACAGCTCAGCCATGATAATCTGCTGGAAGTGATGCAAGAAATATATTGAACGACCTAAAGTACCGGCCATATTTTTTTCTTATGTCTGGAAATCTCAAAAGCACATGCTCACTTCTATAACTGCAATCATTTGATTAGCATGTACTGAAAGGATTGAAATGCCAATATGTTTTGTTTCTTTGGTAGCTGAGAGATAACCTACAAAAACGTATTGTTCCTGTTCTGGAAATGGCTGTTTCTATTGCCCTTATTTCTCCATTTATCTTTTTTTTCTAGGAAGTACCTGTAGACCAGGAATACTGGGCCAGAGAAAAAAATACTGTCTAGTTTAGCAAATTGCAGAATGGACAGCACTGAACATTGGAACATAAAAAGTTTTTAAAGGTGGGGGGCTGGAACTGGCAGAGTATAAGTGGCACTGCATGTTGCTCAGCTAAACTCCATGCTCTGTGAACAATGTGAGCAACAGCCCTGCTATTTCCGCCGATGAGAGCCCATTGCCTACCGGGTGCCAGGCACTGTGTTTCCTCCTGCCCTGTAAGTCTTTCTGTAAAATAGATTCTTGTCATCTGCTTGGAGCATGTTTAATGAAAGCGTTCAGGCTTTCTAGAGATTGAGATGAAAATATAATTAACATCTTTGATTTCTGTGCCATCAAAGAGCCCAAACTATTCTTAGATATGTTGGATGCTTGAGTGGTTATTAAATCCTTTGAAATTAAGTGACAGACTCAGTCCTGTGTGCTGATGTTTAGGACAGACAGACACACACTGTCAAACTCACACACACCAGGCTTATGGGGAAGAAGTCAAAGATGACAACAGTGTCTAATTGGAGCTCCTCCAGAGTCTGGCTTCCTGTCATAATGCTTCACATATAGCCTGTGTTTTGAAAATGGCAGGTTTTGGCTTGTGATCAACCAGGAGGGAAACATGGTTACTGCTCGCCAGGAACCTCGCCTGGTCCTGATTTCCCTGACCTGTGATGGTGACACCCTGACTCTCAGTGCAGCCTACACAAAGGATCTACTACTGCCCATCAAAACGCCCACCACAAATGCAGTGCGCAAGTGCAGGTAAGGAAAGGGCAGGTCGTAGCCCTTGCATGAATGAATAGTCATGCAATTTTGAGAAAGCGTAAACTCTAGAGGGAATCCTGAGAAACATATCAATAATGAACTGTTGATTGCCTGTGTACCGTATGTAGAACCAAGTCTTCAACATTATGAAGATCTAAAAGAAGGAGAAAGAAGGAAGCAGCTTCAGAAACTTGTGTTGTTGAGATGACAACAACACATTGAAAGTGCTATATAGAAACCCATGGGAACAAAAGCATATTGACATGTCAGCAAGAGAAAAATAATAGCACCCAAAGATCAAGCACAAAAATGGGGTAGGAGTGGTGGGGGCGAGTGTCCTAGCCGAGGTGAGATTCAATCTATGTATTCTCATAGAACTTTTTCTACTTGGCTTGAAAAAACTGGGTACCTCCAAATGGAGTTAGGAAAGGAGTTGCAAATGGCTATGTGACCCATAAGATTTAGTTCTAATGAAAGAAAGCTCCAAAATAGAAAAGAACAGCTCTAGCTAGAAGAGTGATCCAGCCAGTGGCTGCTCAGCGGTCAGTGTCAGAATGAGGCTGGGGATGCAGCCCAGGAGGGTGTTCTGTACAGAAGCCCTTCCCTCAACATCAGAAGGGCTGCAGCGAAGCAATTCTTCCAGGAAAACTAGCTTTGCCTCTAAGAAGTCATGTCTAGAGTTGATTTCTTATCTCATTACGGCAAAATTAAAGTCGGTCTAGTTATATTCTTGTTATAGTTTCTGCATTTGGAATAAAAATGCACTGTGAATGTTACATGTAGTTTATAGCCTATCATAAAAAAATAGTATCACCTCAAAAAATGTAGTTATCTGAAAAATGTCTAAAGACCCAGAAAAGTTCACAAAATGCAATACTGATATAATTTCTACATTTTAGTTTTAAATATGATAATATACTTTTATTGAAATTGGTGGTTTTTCAGATTAAAAAAGTGGTACATATTCATTGTTGAAAAATTGGGAAATACAAAAAAAAAAGGAAACAAAATCTGTGATAACTGTAATTAATATTGTGGCATATTTTCTTTCTGTCTCTATGCCTGTTACTTAGAAAACAAATTGAAATAATACAAAAAATCCTTTCATATTGTTTATATACTTAAACTGATAATGTTGAGTATTTTTTCATATTGTTAAAAAATCTTTAAGGATACCATTTTTCATGTTGTCATAATATTTCATTGTGTGGGTGTCATCTAATGCATTTTAACATGACCCATGATTAAACATTTTTTTCCAGATATTAAGAAGAATGTGATGAATATCTTGGCATAAATCTTTGTTTATATCATTTGTTGTTTTCTTAGGAAAAAATTGTAGCAGTGGTTTTGTTTGAAATAAGAATATGGATCCTGCAGGCTTTTGATACATCTTGCTAAATTGTTTGCAGAATGGTTTTACCAATTCCATTTTAACCATTATATTAAAAAATATTTTGCCATTTTTATGAGCAAAAACGATAATTTCTTGTTACTTTAATTTGCATTTTTCCCTGAACGAGGTAAGATTTTAAATATTTATATTGCAATTTGTATTTCATGTTTATCCATGTCCTAATTTGTGTTTATTGCCATGATTAGATATGTACCCATATTTTCTTGTAGTTAATTTTTTGTTTAATTTTCAATTCATTTGAAATTGTGTTGAAACTTTTCTCACAGTCCCGTATGGGCATTTGGTCCATGCCCAAAAGACTAAACAAGGGCATGCTTGGAAATTGCGAACTGAAAAGGCTTAGACATGCTACGGTAGTATACAGACTCTTCATCCAAAGATTCCAAGGATCTTCTGGACTCAGGTTTCTTTTGACAGCCCAACCTATTCTCTTATGAGGAAGTTGTAACCTCAGCCCACAGTTTCTTAAAGATTTCTGATGAGTTCTTGGAGCTCTGGGGTCACTTTCAGAAGGTCGTGATCACAGGCAGTACACCTGTTTTCATGGTTGAAGATGTTACTTGATCTTCTCACATGCTTTGCCTGCTACTAATAAGATACAGAGAATTAGGGACTTTTGCTGTGGATTATTCAGGCAAACAGCCTCAAACCTCAAACCATCTCAAGCCATGCCTACATTATCTTTATCAAAGGGTCAAAGGTTATAGAAGCATTTGGAATTTTATTTTAATTCTTTGCTTGCACCCTTTGGGACAGTGTACAGGTGGAGTGCTGGGGCCAAGATACAGCAGAGGCCAGTCAGGACTCAGGAGAAACATGGGAGGAGTAGGAAGAAGGCCAAACAAATTCTACTCGCTGAAAGACCTCAAGTTCTGGGTGATTATGAAACTGAACCCCAGGATCTAGAAATAGAGGTTGCAATGGAAATCAGTGTCAGATTAACAGGGCAGATGTCTAAATGGCCCAAGATAGATGCAAATGTTTTGACTTTGTAAAAATAATGATTGGAAACTGAAGCCCTAAGGAGTCAAAGCAGTCTTCCTGTTTACATCCTCTGCTGTGCGCCCTCACACCCTCCTGTAAAAGCAACTAAGGGAAGCCCTGGGCTGCCGAATGGCAAGTTGAGACTGAAAGGGTACCTTGGTGAGCTGTAAGGGTTTGACTCTGGAGAAAGGAGGGTGATTTTTTTTTTTTTTTTTTTGTCTTAGGCACCAGCAAAGAGGCATCTAACAAGGCAATGACCTTCAAGGCTGTCTCCATACCTAGATATTTGGTAATGCTGGCATTTCACAAGATGCTTCTGAAATAAGCATTTCAGACGTTAAACTGCACACACACACGCAGATGCTAAGCCCCTCACATACACTCAGTTCTAGAACTGGTGAATTTGATTTTTGGGAAAAGTAAAAAATTATTTGGAGCTAAACCCTGTGAATAAGAAAATGATAGGACTATTTTTTTTTTTTTGGTTAAAAAGTGAGGTTAGGCTTAAAAGTAGTAATAAGTAGATATGATTAATAATAGGTTAGAATGATTACTTCCCAAGGTGACTGCTCTGAAAGGTAATATCCATTTGGCTGTATAAATTTGGGTACATTTATTTTATTCATTTTATTTATTTTTTATCTTGATCCAGAAAAGAGTAACACAAACACTCCTGGTCTTTGTAAATGTTCTCATTACTTCATAGGCCTTGGGTGCATATTTCAGCCCTCTGATTCTCAGGAAGTTAATTTAGAATGGGTGGGGTGACAGTGTGAGAAAAGGTATCAAGTCATATACTACAGCAGTGCACTTTTCTACATGAGTGTTACACTTCAATAAAAAGTTTTTAAAAATTTATGAAACCTTTGAATACACTAATCTCACTGCTTTATGTAACCCAGACACTGTTAGTAATGATTTCTCATTTTAGATATAAAGCAATAAAATAAAATTATATAAAAATATATGGGATACTGTACTCAATATTATTTCACAATATAAAAATCCATTTGTACATTATTATTAGAGAATGGATGCTTTTGTTTGATTAAATGTTTGATGTGTGGAGTAACTATACAAAGATAGCTTGAAATAACTTGGTTGGAGGACCCTAGGTCGTTACCGCCTACTGAGCACATCCCAGTCCTAAGAATTGTTTGGGGGCTTCTTACAGATTGTTCCTAATCCTCACAACAAAGTTGTGCTCCTACCCCATTCTATTGATGAAGAAACTGAGTCTCAGAATAAGAAACTATCACCAAGGTCATGGAGCTAGTCATTTGTGGAAATGGAATGTCCAGCCAAGTAGATTTACTTGATCCACTAAGCTTTCTCAAACTTCTAGCATTTGCATGACACCACCATGACAGTAGGCCAAACCATAAACCACCTGTACTCTTATTTATTTAATGTTTTTCTTTAAACTGATTCAGCTTAAAAACTAATCTTAAACACATTTATTTAAAAAAGAAACTTTATATAGCTACCTATATCATTTGCCAGGTATATGGCTTTATATGGCTACCTATATAATTTATATATATGGGTTTATATATAAATTTATGTGGTTACCTATAAACCTTATATGGCTACCTGTATACAAATTTTATATTGCTACCTATATAATTTGCCAGAAATGAACAAACGCTCGATATGCTAAAACATTACTAAATTCTAGCTAGAAACTGTTGCCTACAGAGGTCTCTGGACCTAAGGTGTGTTCTTTCTTTGTTAAAGGAGGTGATTATCAAGTGTTGCTAAAAGGTAAAGATTTATTACCACTAAACTGAAATTTCTTTCTGTGCAACTCACTGTTATTTAATGCTATACCCAGGAGCCATCTACAGTTATCTTGAATGCCAGCAGTGGTAATGGTCCTGCACTTTGTGAAACGCTGGCCTACACCGTAGCATTTATTTTCCTCTCTATAGCTGTGAAATTCATATAACACCGAACAGCCCTGCACATGGCTATGTGCTGGAGAGTAGGAACTTCAAATCCTACAAAGTTATAACTTGCAATCAAATCTAGTAGATTATTATTGTTATTATAAAGTAAATAGACTATTACTGTTAACATTTGTTATATATAAAGTTATTATCTGTAATGTTTTAGACTTTATAGAACATTTTCATGTTGTTGCTGTTACTATACTGGCAAAGTATAGCCAGGCCTGTGAATAAAGATTTCTGGTCGCTATTCAGCTGAGTGAACTAGATTTTGCAGTAATTCTAAGTTTACTTTCCATGTCTGCCCTTTGTTCCTGCCACCCCTGCAGAGTGCATGGCCTGGAGATTGAGGGCAGAGACTGTGGCGAGGCCGCCGCCCAGTGGATAACCAGCTTCCTGAAGTCACAGTCCTACCGCCTGGTGCACTTCGAGCCTCACATGCGACCGAGACATCCTCACCAAATAGCAGACTTGTTCCGACCCAAGGACCAGGTGAGAGGTTCTGCTGCCTCTATTGGTAGAAAGCAGTCACCCCCAGCCTGGGGGGCTCAGGTGGCATCTCTGATGACCTCGGCTCTCTTGTTTTCGGGGCAGCCCTCTGGTAGCTTAGACCACAAGCAGTAGGCAGAAATAAAGCCCTTCCCTTGGAAGCGTCATTTGTTTCTTCATTTGGGGGACTCTTGAGTTTTTGCCCTTGAGCATCTACCTTCCTATCTGTGTAAGCATTCTGATGCCAGTAGGGTTTCAAAACTGTCCTGCACCAGTGTTTTTTTTCATTCCATTCTGTAATTGCACATGGAGTCCAGAATTTTTAGTTTGCAGTTGTATGTCAGATTCCAGCTATGCAAGTTGGCATGGGTATGGAGATACACAGACTCAAATGATCAGCCTTAATGGCATAAAGCTCTAAGGATTCATCATAAAAGCAGGGTTGGTAGCATCATAAAAGCAGGGTTGATACTGCTTTTACCATGCACATAAAAAAGAAATCATGCTGTAGTCCTTGCTACTAAGGAGGCTGAGGTGGGAGGATTGCTTGAGCCCAGAGAGTTGAGGCTGCAGTGACCTGTGGTGGCGCCATTGCATTACAGCCTGGGTGACAAGGAGACCCTGTCTCAAAATATATAAATCAATAAACAAGCAAATGCATAAATTATGGTCAACATAAATATTAATTTGTAAGTTACATAAAAATAAATATTCATGGAATTAGTGAGCATTTAAATCAAACATCAAACTCAACCAACTTATTAAACATTTGAGAAATTGGAGGCTTAGAAAGGTGCAGTGATGCCCCCAAGGGCACATGCCTTGTGGCAGCTTAGGATTGATTCTGAGTCCTTGTTCCCTTCATTCCACCATGCAGTTTCTGCTGTCTGCAAGGCTATTTAAAGCTTCTGAGTCACTGTGACTTCTATTAAAAGAGCAAGAGAACTACTTTGAAAGATTGTATGTGGGGTGGGGTGGAGCACGGAGGGTATGTCTAGAAGCTAGGCACACCTAGCCACTGAAAAGTTGGTGTGCCACGTGTTATAACAATGTGTATTTCCTTATCAGATTGCTTACTCAGACACCAGCCCATTCATGATCCTTTCTGAGGCGTCGCTGGCGGATCTCAACTCCAGGCTAGAGAAGAAAGTTAAAGCAACCAACTTCAGGCCCAATATTGTAATTTCAGGATGCAATGTCTATGCAGAGGTAACGCTATGCCCCTTTGCATCTTTCCTTGGATTTGACTTCTTTTTTAAGGTATGAAAGTCTTTGACATTGGATTAGATTATTCTGAAGGGTGCATTATTTATCAACTCTATAATACATAACAATTTGATTTTTAGATTTATTCAGCACCTAATAAGTGCAGACTTCCATGTGGAGGATACAAATATTGATGGGTCAGAGACTGTCATCAAGGAAGCAGTTCAGTATCTGTGGCTTCTAAGGAGAATTCTGAGTTGACAGGTTCGTTGTTGAGTCAAATTTTCTTGCACAGACTACATGATCTGTGTGGGCCGTGGAACAAAGAAAGTGTGTGCCCTTGTCTTGTCAAAGGATGGTCTTCCTGTTTAGTAGGTGGCTCTCTCGGAGAAGACAGGCATTTACTGCAAGGCTGCTGGGTGAGGGTTGGGAGAGGTTGTTGCCCCTGAGCTTGATGGCACTGCCCTAAAACACCTGCAGTGCCACCTTCCATCTGCCCTCAGATGTCTGCGTGGTGACTTAGCTTAAATAGCCCTGAGGCTTGGTTTCCGGGATTCCGCAGGATTATGGCAGCAAATTTACTTTGTGATAAATAGCCTTTGGCTGTTTAACCTGATTCTCTCCCTGGGCTTCCATGAAGGCGGAGGTTGGTGGCCTAGAGGCTTGGGGAGTGGCCACCAGCTGTGGATACTCAACAGAAGCCCTGACCCCCAGATAGAAATTCAGGAGCTCTGGTTGTGCCTCATGTTTATGTTGAGAAGGGAGAGGTAAAAGGGACAATATAGTGGTTCTTACGTTTGCCCATTTCCTCCATAACAGGGAAAAATGGAGTCAAAGCAATTGAGTTTTAACCTTTTATACTCAGAGGAACCAATTCTGTTCTTCACTTTTGCTGTACGGAGGCAAAGCTGTGCTGAAAGAGAAATAATATAAGAATTTGGTTCCCACATTCAAACAAGAGGATGTGAGGGCTGGTCTCAGCTTCTGTGCTGGCTTCTGCATGACTTTGAGCAGCACTGCTATGCCCCACTTACCTTGCCTGAACGATGAGATGATCATATTTCTGCCTAGGGCTACCTTAAAGGTCTGTTGAAGGATCAATTTGGATAATGTAATTTATGAGGTGTATAAATGCAATATCAATCGATGGAGGATAATAAAAGTACTCCCAAATCCACTGCTAATGCTTTATATAAAATACTCTTGGCTCCCACCTTCCAAGGGTAGCGTTTCTTCTAAAGATGGCAGAGAACTTCCTAGTGTGAGGCAGGTGGACTGTGTGCATATCCCCCACGGTCCTGGGTTGGGCGTCTCTCAGGGCTTCTTTGTGACAAGGGAGCGCTGCCTGTCCTGCTCCTGTGCACAATGGGCCAGCCTGACTCAGACAACAGGAAAATAATCACTGTTTGGTTGCCTTTGACCGTGTCCTTGAGATTCATCTTCCACTAGCTATGGCTAGGAGAGTCATTTTTCCTGAGAACATTCTTTCTCAGGAAAAGAGAAATGAGTGGGGAGGGTTTTGAATCAACACTTGTGTTTCACTGAAGTATGTTGTCTCTTTTATGCCTCACAGAGCCCAGCAGGGTAAAGCTATCATTCCTATCTTACAGGAGAGAAGAGAGAGGCTTGGGGAGGTGAGGTGGCCTGCCCTAGGCTATACCACAGCAAGGAGGGGCTGGGTTTTGAACCCCAATTGTACAAGGCCAGAGGAACCCTGAAAATTCTAGGGCATATCCGTGGGGCTGAGACAGCTGGATTCCACTCCGCCTGCTTCAGCAAGTGACCACACAAGCCTGAACAGGTCACCGAACCTGCCGAGGCCTCTGCTTCTTGCAGTTGTAAAACATGGGCAATTCCAATGACTCCCTCGCCTGATGGGAGCTGTGAGAATCAAGGTCGATGACAATTTGTGGAAAAGTTCTAGGACATTAAGTACCACAGAAAGGTAAGGAAGAGTTTCATTCCTGGGGGTTTGGCTCAGACCCCCAGCTTTCTCCCTATGATTGGCTTTAAGCTTTCTCTCCCCTGGTGTGATCTGTGCACCGAGGGTCATACTGAAGCCATTTCCACTCCAAAATTCTGTGACAGTAAGATTCGGATGAGAAGAGAGGAGGAGATGGCCCAGAGTAGAACTTCAGATCTCGGAGATTTCTTTCAATTGAATCTTACTTTAAAAACCCATATCTCTCTCTCTATCTCTGAATGTTTCCTAATTGAGAACATTCTGTATGTGAAGTTGGGCGGTAACACAATGGTGGCTGAGCCGGCCTTGTTTCTAGTAATTCACCCATCATCTAGTGGGTTGCTGCCCCTGTGTGGTGTGCGCTGTGAATAGACATGTGAGAACAAGGGTTGAAGAAATGCATTTGCTTCTCCTGAGGAGCTCAGGGTGGTCAGATAGTGAACAAGCAGTCACAGTCCAGTAAGACATGGCCAGGAGGGTGGCGAGCAGCCAGACCTGGGGACGTGACTAACACCTGCATTGTGGGGTGAGCTGAAGCGTGGGGCACCCAGGGCTCTGGTCTCAGAACCTTTCTCATTTGTCTGCACTCACTTTTCTGATCTGTTCCTTCCTTCCTTCCTTCTTCCTTCCTTCCCTTTCTGTCTTTTCCTTCTTTCCTTCCTTTCTTTCCCTCCCTCCCTCCCTCTCTCTCTCTCTCTCTCTCTCTCTTTCTCTCTTTCTCTCTTCCACTCTCTCCCTCTCTCTTTCTCTCTCTCTCTTTCTCTCTTTCTTTCTTTCTTTCTTTCTTTCTTTCTTTCTTTCTTTCTTTCTTTCCTTCCTTCTTTCTTTGCTGCTTTCTCTCTCCTTCCTTCCTTCCTTCCTTCCTTCCTTCCTTCCTTCCTTCCTTCCTGCCTTCCTTCTTCATCTTTCTTTCTCTTTCTTTCTTTCTTTCTTTCTTTCTTTCTTTCTTTCTTTTCTTTCTTTCTTTCACCTGCCCTCTTTCTTTCTTTCTTTCTTTCTTTCTTTCTTTCTTTCTTTCTTTCTTTCTTCTTTCCTTCGTTTTCAAAACCTCATCTGCCCTGAGGATTCCTAACTATATCCTTCTGCCAGAGCTTTCCCCTGCTTCTCCATAGCTCCATGTGGATGTCTAATCCAATGTCAGGATGTCTGAAATTGAGGATCAGGTTTCCACCCTAAAGCCTGCTGTGCCCAGTCTCGCCCATCTCAGCACACAGCAGCCCTGACTTCTGCTGGCTCAGGCCCCAAACTGCGAACTACCCTTTGTTCTTCTCTTTGTCTCATATCCCAAGTTCCTACAGTTGACAAATCTTTATGGCTGGGCCCTTCTCTCCACTCCCCTCCCTGCCTGGATGTAGTCACCACTGGTGCTGCAACAGCCTGGGTTCACTGGTCTTCCTGCCCCACTCTTGACCCAGCCCTGCCACCATCCATGGGCTGTTCTCAGCACATCTGTCAAAGTAACCTTGTTGATGTAAGTAACATCATGTGATTCTTCAGCTCAAAGCCCTCTCAAAATTCTCCACCTTTCTTCAAATAAAAGATGGGATCCTTATGGATGGCCTTGAAGGCACAACATGACACCCCGCCAGCTCCCAGCCCCTTCTCCTCTCACTCCCCTCTGCTGTCTCATTCTGCCCCAGCCATACTGGCCTTTTCTCTGTGTCCTGGCTGGGTCCTCTGCCTGGCATACCTTCCCTCACAGGCCTCATGGTTCACTCCAGTGCCTCTTTCAGTCCCCTGCTGCAGGCTTCACTGACCCCACTCATCCAGCCCCCCACAGCACACACCCCACCTAACAAGCCGTGTGTACTCAGGTATTAGTGTATTGTCTGTTTCCCCTATGCAAGCTCTTTATCTCCAGCCCCTAGGAGAGCCCCTGGCACACAGTAGGTGTGCACTACTTATCTGTTAAATGAATGACCGGATAAGTATTGTCCAGGAGAAGGGGGAGCACTGAGGGAGGGGTGCATACACAGGGCTATGAAGGTGTGAGAGAATGGTCATCTCGCAGCGCTGGGGCTCGGGAGAGGAGGGAAGCTGAGAGCACAGGTACTTGGTGTCAGGTTTTGGGGAGTCTGGGAAGAATTTTTAGCCAGAGAGTAACTGAATCTGATTTGCATGGTACATATTTGCCTCTGCCAGGAGCCTGGAGAAGGATTAGAGTAGTTGGGGCCAGGGTGCAACTGAGAGAGCAGGCTAGCATGGAGGAAGGCTGAGGACCTGCACGGAAGTTTCTGGAAAGCAGACCCACTCCGCATCTCAGAACCTACCTTCTCAGCAACTGTGGCTTTTCTCTGCCTCCCTTCATCATCGGCACTCCCCACACTCATTTCTTACCCCTCATTTCTCCCCAGAGCCACAGTGGAGACATCCGCCCCACCTGCCACAGTCAGTGACTTTTTCAGTCGCCGCCACCCCGCCCTGAGGATCCATGGGCACTGCTTACTGAAACGTTTCTCCTTTGGCTGCACTGCCCTTACTTCTCTGCTGTTTGTCCTCATTCCTTACTTCCAAAAGTTCTGGCCTTGACCCTTTTCTCTCCCCTCCTTGGTGATCACACTCTCTGCAGCATCACCCTCTGTCACCTGATGTAGGTCCCTCAAATGTCCACCCGGACCCCCTCTGGAGTGCTGTGTCACAGTTCCAACTCTCTGTTGGTTGACAGAGAAACTCAGACTTAGGTGCTCACACACCAGCCCCTACACCCTCACCCCACCTCCCCAAACTCATTCTTTCTTTCTTTTTGGAAACAGAGTCTTGCTCTGTCACCCAGGCCGGAGTGCAGTGGCGTGATCTCAGCTCACTGCAACGTCTGTCTCCTGGGTTCAAGCGATTCTCCTGCCTCAGCCTCCTGAGTAGCTGGGATTACAGGCATGTGCCACCACGCCCGGCTAATTTTTGTATTTTTAGTATAGAAGGAGTTTTGCCATTTTGGCCAGGCTGGTCTCGAACTCCTGACCTCAGGTGATCCACCCGCCTTGGCCTCCCAAAGTGCTGGGATTACAGGCATGAGGCACTGTGCCTGGTCCCCAAACTCCTTCTGTTGACTTCACTGTTTCTATCCAGGCAGCTCGTTTTTTTCTTTCACCCAGTCTGGGAGGGTGACAGTCAGCCCTGGCTCCTCCCTCTGCTGTGTTCCTCCCAGCCCCAGCCACATCAGCTCCCCTTTCTGTTCTCAGCCACCAGCCAGATCCAACGTTTGTTACTTTAAGTTTGGACCACTAAGTACTCCCTCCTGAATGTTGCCACAGCCAAGCCTCCCAGAGCTGATCAGCGTGATCTCTCCCTCTCTAAAAGTTTGTGACAAAACATCAGTGTTGCTACCTTACTCAGAAGCCTTTAGTGGCTCTCCATGTCACAAAGGTCCACACTTCCCACTCAATCATTACATTCCTCTGTAACCTTGCCACAGTCCGCTTTTCCAGCCTTTATTACCAACTGTATTAGTTCATTTTCATACTGCTATGAAGAAATACCCGAGACTGGGTAATTTATAAAGATAGAGAGGCTTAATGGACTCAGTTCCACATGGCTGGGGAGGCCTCACAATCATGGCAAAAGGCAGAGGAGAAGCAAAGGCATGTCTCACATGGTGGCAGGCGAGAGAATGCGTGCAGGGGAACTGCCCTTTATAAAACCATCAGATCTTGTGAGATTTATTCACTCTCACAAGAAAAGCACTGGAAAGACCTGCCCCCATGATTCAATTATCTCCCACTGGATCCCTCCCATGACATGTGGAGATTATGGGAGCTACAATTCAAGATGAGATTTGGATGGGGACACAGCCAAACCATATCACCAATGAAAGCTCCAAACTGCAAACTGGTGTCTCCTGGTCACTGAGAATCTTACTCCCTTCCCTACTTAAAACTCTTGACATTCTCTGAAAGCCTGGATTAAAAGCCCTCTCCTCTGGGAAGCCTGCTGTGATTGCAGGACCTCAAAGAGCTCCCTCCCGTCTCTGAAGCTATGGTGTGCTCTGAGCCTCTCGCATGCCATGCTTGTCCTGTTTGAACTGGTCACCTCCAGGTGCTGTAGGAAGACTTTCCTGGGCTCATCAGTGCTTATGACTCAATCCCCAGTAGTTTTTACTGGACATAGAAGGGGCTCTGGAAATATTTCTTTAATTAATAAGAACTTAATTTCCTAAGTGGGACCCTTGTTTTTCTCCTTTTATACTCTTTTTATGTGTTTTTTGTGACCACAGTGCCTCCTTGTGGAGAAATGTTCACAGGACAGGCTGTGGCTGTGCTAATCCGCTGTGCCCAGTTTTCCGGACTGTTGAAAATATGCACCTGAGACGCATTTTATGATTTATGACAGAACAAAACCCTGGTGTCATATATATCAAGAATAACATACACTATTGGAGTTAAAATTCTGAGCTTGAAACTCTGTCCCTCAGCTCATCATCAACCAAGGACAAGGCAGTTTGCTTTCTAACTCCAGGTCTTTGCCTTTCGCCCTTGTGTGGTGGGCAATTCTCTCCGAGGGTAAGAAGGTCAGGACTATAATCAAATGAACTTTGCCTCCTCAGCGCCCTTCCTTCTTATTACTGTCCCCTCTGCCTGGAGTCCCCTTACCCTTCTTTTGTGCCTCTCAAATTCTCTGCCCTTTTAGACTCAGCACTTATCTTACCTATTCCATAAAACTTCCTCTCACCAGACCAGCCCGGAGAGCTGTGCCTCTAAATCCCCAGAGTAAGTATTGCCTGCGCAGTGAAACCAACACACAACATGCTGCCTTGGAGTGCTTTTTGTGAATATTTCTGGCATTTAAAAACAGAATATTGATCTTTAGAATTCCATGTTTGGATGGCCTATCTCGGCTGCTAGATTGGAGGGCCTTGGTCCACTAATGCGGTTGTCGTGGAAAGTAGGCTCCACTGACCCAGCCCAAAGGCAATGCCTGCAGCGCTCCCCTGGCTTCAGTGCTTCGTAAATGCTCCAGCAAAAATCAAAGAGGAATGAGGCTGCTGGTCCTGCTCCTGATGTGTCCGTATCTGTCTGGGGAGACGTGCACATACTCAATGACTTCAGGCTCTTAATCCATATAACTTCAGGCAGGCACGAAGGGATCTGATATGAGTTGAAGTAATGAGTAATGTCCCCTTCTGTCCCCCTCCCCACTTTCACCCACCCCGTCCACTTTGTGCACCCCAACCCCCACCAGGAGTCAAGTGAGATCATCAGGGAGCCTCCCTGAGGGAGGTGAGTTTCCACGACAGTTACAAGTGAGAGGAGAGAGAAATCTCATCTCAGGGGAATGAACTGGCATATGAAAGCCAAAGAGAGGGAACGCGAAGGTGTGTGGGTATGGCTTGGCAGAGCAGGGCTGGGGGAGAACAGAAGGCTGCCATCGCTGATGTGGGTGACATCATTAGGTGCGGGCGCTCCTGGGAAGTCTCTACACACAGGTCAGGGGCAGGGCCTGGAGGTGCTCATGGGAGTTTGCGCTTTGTTTCCTAGGATTCTTGGGACGAGCTTCTTATCGGTGACGTGGAACTGAAAAGGTTGATGGCTTGTTCCAGGTAAGGCGCTTTCCTGTCCCTGTGGGGAGAGGGTGGGGATAAGGCCACTCTGCTCTGTCCCCCTTATGATGTTCTGTGTGTGTCTCCAGATGCATTTTAACCACAGTGGACCCAGACACCGGCGTCATGAGCAGGAAGGAGCCGCTGGAAACACTGAAGAGGTAGGACTGGGCAGACGGGGCTCATGCTCGGGTTTAGGTGCCTGGAACACAAGCAATATTTGTTGCTTAATGTTTATAAGAAGAAGCAGTGAAAACACCACACACATAGTCTTGAAGCTCAAGGGGGTCCCATCAAAGAGATGATTTGGGAAACATTCCCTGGTGTTTTGGGCACCAACATGTCTACTTAAATAAATACTTTTATCTTTCATTTAGAAATCATAATTCAAATAAATCAATGTTTAAAAATTGCTTATGTATTTTGACAAATTTTATTATGAGCTGAGTATTAGATGATAACAAAAAAATATACTAGGTGTCCTAGTGGCATTGTGGTTATATTAGAAATGTCAATATATTTTAGAGACGCTGCTTGAAGTATGTGTGTAGGAGTGAAGTGATGTGACATCTGGAACTTGCTATATGCTATACATTATTTTAGCAAAAAGAAAAAAAGGATAGATGAGTACATTTAAAAAATGTATCACAATCTTCATAAATAGAATCTGAGTGATAATTATGGGGAGGTTTATTGCACTATTCTACTTTTATGTTTACTTTAAAATTTCTTAAGGGTAGATTGTAAGTGAAAGGCACAGTACCGAGAATCATTTTAAATTGTATATATAGTCAAGATGCCATGTTGACTTTACAAAGTTCATTATAAAATAGCACTATTTACTTTTTATTTTTATTTGATTTTACTTTTTAAAAAACATAAATGCACATGAGTAGATAAAAGGCTGAAAGGAGATGAAGCAAAATGGAGATGCTGTTTTGGTTCAGTGATAGAATTATGGAAAAGGGTTATTCTTATATGTAGTCTCTAAACTTTCTATAATTACTCTGCATTACTTTTGTGAAAACAACACCAATAACGGTTTAGTATCCAAGCACTTCAGTGCTGTTATCTGCCAAATTTGGGACCCAGGAAATTGCTGAAACTGAAAATGAACTAAGGGTGCTTCTCTTCACTGGTTCCTTTGACACTGAATACTGAGTCACAGGCCAGGTGTCAGGCCTCATCTCAGTCCCTGAGAGCCTTCCTTGGCTTTGGTCCTGACTTGGCATCCCCAGGTATAACTTGTAGAAGGGAGGGCCCTGGGAACCTTGAAGAAGGAACGCGGTTGAGATGTGACTATCTTGTATCAAAACCATCATGAACGAGCGCGTGACAGAGAGGTTGCACTGGCCTTTGTGGAGCAGGACTCATTCCCCATAACGTGAGGCTCCCTGCCTCCCTTTCCTTCCACCTTTCACCAACCTCATGGCCTTTTTGGGGGCCAATGATTCAGTCTTCTTTGATCAGCCCCAATCCCTCCTTGACAGTTCTACTGTCCCAGATCTGACCCCCTCTCTGGGCAAGCTGAAGCCCTGGGCTGGAGGAGTGTCATTCCTGCTGTCACCTCACTCCTGAGCATGAGGCTATGGCCTGACTTCTCTGGCCAGCACCTGTCATCCTATAGGAGATGAGTCCCAGGGTGTGGGCCAGGCTGCAGCAAGGTTAGCAGGTGGCCTTGGGGGCTTAAGCCACCTGGCAGGGAGACAGTGGTCAGCAGGGAAGTTAAACAGGATGGGTGGAGGGAGCTATGGAGAAGGGAGTTTGTGGGACTCAAGGAATCTTTGAGGTGGATAGCAAGTGGCTGGTCTCTCCCTGACTCCAACAGCGTTGGGTGTGATTTACAGCAACTTTCAAAGAGGAGGGCTACAGACCAGCCTGAGAGAATACAGTGGATTGATGAATAGATACATATGTGATAAAGAAAGTATAGTCAAGGCCAGGCACGATGGCTCATGCCTGTAATCCCAGCACTTTGGGAGGCTGAGGCTGGTGGATCACTTGAGGTCAGGAGTTTGAGACCTGGGCAACATAGTGAAACCCTGTCTCTACTAAAAATACAAAACTTAGCTGGTCATGGTGGCGGTCACTTGTAGTTGCAGCTACTCGGGAGGCTGAGGCAGGAGAATCATTTGAACCCGAGAGGTGGAGGTTGTAGTGAGCTGAGACTGTGCCACTGCACTACAGTTTGGATGACAGATATATATAGTCAAGTGTGTTTATATATATATATATATATATATATATATATATATAGTCAAGAATAAATATAGTCAAGAATATATATATATAGTCAAGTGTTAAGCTCAGAATTCAAGCAGTGAGTAAATGGGTATTTGCTGTAAAATTGTTTTACTAATTGCCTGTTTGAGAATTTTCATAGTAACATTTTGGGGGAAATGTCACTATGTGTGACAGAACATTGATGAGAAGAGCAGGGTTATAACTATTCTGTGAAATGTGCACACTCACCATCAGAACAAACCAGAACTCAGTCTTCCTGTTTTCCATGGCCACAGAGGAGCTACTAGGAGCAGAAAGCAGGGAGGGCCAGAGGGAAGATCCTGGGCTGGGAGTCAGGAGACCAGGATCTGCAGCACACCAACTGCTGTGCTCCTGCCCCCACCGCCACTCAGGCCCTGAGTGCTCTTCCCTATAAAATAAGGGAGGCAAGACAGAAATAGATGGTTCTGTGTAAATCAGCCAAGTGGTTTGGGGAATTGGCTGTCATCCTTTTTTGTCCATCTTGTTCTCTCTCTCCCCCCAGTTGCTCGGTGTGGGGCATCCTTCCCTCTGGATTTAGAAGGTTTATGCTCTTGCAGAAACGGCCTCCGCAAAGCACTTCACGTGTTTGGGCTCGTTCTCTGCATCTTCAGGGCCCCCCTTCCTCCATTGGGAGCCTGTGTTTATAGAAGGAGGATAATTGACCCTAAACACAGAGTGAGGGTGGGAAGGCGGGGGGCGTAAGGAGCCAGCACACCCCCATGATCTTCTGCAGGCTTTGTGCAGCCCAACAATCCAGCCCTAATTGCTTCTAATACCCCAGGAGACAGTGCGGCCAGCCTAGGTGTCTTCTCCTATCTCTTACTGAGATTTAAATTGCCATGGATGTTTAATTTATGTTCTTCCCAAGACAGGTGGTCATAAATCGGGAAGAGAAAGGCCTGGCCACATCGCATAAATCATGGGAAGGGAAGCAAACAGTGGTGTCCACAGCCTCTCCGCTGTTGGGCAGGTTGCTCAGAGCCACACTGCTTTCTGCCTCTGGGCACTCATGGTCCCATGGCTGGGGTTGCTTCTGGAATGCAAGCGCTCAGCTGGGAGACCTCTCTGCCTGCCCAGCCCTGCCTCCTGATGTTAGTCACCCACAGGCAGAGCCCGGGGTGGCACAGCAGTGCGAGAAAAAGAAATACAGAGGCATAGGGGAGCCTTTGTCTGTAAAATACTCACAGTGGGCGGCACAGTGGAGGCCTGTCTGCTAACAGGAAAATAGGAAAATGGAATTTTTCTTTTCTTTCTTAAGGGAAAGTGACGTACACACTAATCCCCATGGTTGAAGGAATGGCTGGAGTCTGCCATTGTTGCTTCCATGACATCTTGCCCCTACTGGAAAGAATATAGCACAATTACTGCATGGGGACTCAAAAAAAAAAAAATGTTTTGCTGGATGCACGAATACTGTGACTGCAATGACATTTGCCGGCAGCCACTTGTGTCAGGCTGTGCTCTGCTGAGCAAAACACAGAAGATATAGCAGTGGTAACTCCAAGGGAGGAGACAGACCCTCCACCTGTCTGGCTCTGTCACCTCCTAATTGTGTGACACTGGCAAGTTGCTTAGGCTCTTCAAGTCACAGTTTCTTTATTGGTATAAACTGGACTTGTAATACCTCTTCTGGTAGACTGGAATAATGCAAGATATTATAGGTGATAAAATACTGTGCACAGTGACCATGTAAGCTGCGTTCATTGAGAGTCTCCATTTATAAACTTGACACTTTCTGACAGGAGGAGAAGCTTGACTACACTTCTTCCTATACTCAGAGGCTGCTTTAAATGAAACCGAACACGAACTTGCCCAATAGCCAGCCTCTGTAAGTTCAGTGTGGCACCTCTCCTGGGAACGTTCACGATGCTAATTCTTTTATTTTATTTTATTTTATTTTATTTTACTTATTTTTTGAGACAGAGTCTCACTCTGTCACCCAGGCTGGAGTGCAGTGGAGTAATCTCGGCTCCCTGCAACCTCCGCCTCCAGGGTTCAAGCAATTCTCATGCCTTGGCCTCCCAAGTAGCTGGGATTACAGGCATGCGCCACTATGCCTGGCTAATTTTTGTATTTTTAGTAGAGACAGGATTTCACCATGTTGACCAGGCTGGTCTCAAAGTCCTGACCTCAGCTGACGTGTCTGCCTTGGCTTCCCAAAGTGTTGGGATTAACAATGCTGTTTAATTCTTAACCTGGCCATAGAGCTAGGCAGTCATGAGGCCTCGGGAATGGCTTCTGCTCCTGGTGACTTATGGTCCCATGAACACCAGTGGTGGGATTGGGCAGTGACCAGAGACTCTGCCTGGAGTCATGGCCTGGACGTTGACCAGTGTATGAGTAAATCAGGCAGTGTAAACAAGGAGCAGCCCTCTGTGGCGCACAGCACTTTAAAGGTAACAAACTGTTTCCATTTACATTGCACCTTGTAAATAATGGAGACCTCGGTTTAAGCTAAATAAAGTGTCTTGGACTTCCTGCTCATCAGAATAGTTATGTTTCGTATTCATTTAAGGAGAAAGTGCACTAAGGAAGATTTTAAATGAGTTTTAATTTATTAATACCAACAGGAATACATATATGAAAAGTCATATATTAAAAAAATCGTAGAAGACCCATGTATGAAACAACACTATTTTCTTTCAGTCGGTTGAACTTGGTGTGCACATGAATCCATAGACTGCTTGCAATACCTCTTAGTGCCAGCAGGGGCCGCTAGTGACCTCGTTGAGTCTTCACACAGCCTGGAGGCCGGCTTCAGCAGCAGCAGCAGCGGCAGCAGCAGGAGGAGGTGGTGCAGGGGGCGATGAGAGTCTGCAGCAAAACCAGGCAGCTGTAGGAAAGCCCTGGCAGGCCGGCCCGGCGAGAACCCCTTCTCCACTCCCATAGCTGTTCCCGCTTCTACTCCTAGACAGTGGAGTGGACCGCCACCTGTGAGCCGGTGACCACACCTGCACTTTGACAAAGCAACTCCCTCACCCCGACCTGTGCAGTTTAGGGAGGCTGTGCCGGGAGGGGCAGCCGCTCTTTATGGTCCTCTGCTCCTCATTACCTGGTGAGGGAGTGAGTGTGTATGTGTGTGGTTGGCAGGAAGGGATAGGTGAAAACTGTAAGTGGCTAGAAATTGGTGTAGATCACTAAATTGTGAGGCCCCTCAGTGCTTCTCAGGCCAGCAGTTGTACTCAGGAGGATGTTGATGACCAGGCAGGGTTACATCCTGGGTGGGAAGAGTCCACCAGACTCTGAAGTCAGCCAGGCCTGGGCTCTGGCCCCAGCTGGATCCCTTAGATCCGTGATCTCAGGCAAGTCTGTTACTCCCCTGAGACTTAACTGTAAAATGGAGAAAAGACAAATTCGCACACAGGCAGTTTGTAAGGATTAAAAGAGATAACATGTGTAAAGTTCCTTATAGACTATCCATGTGTGGTGCGCAGAACTCCAACTCTCAATTTCTCCCCAAGATAATGAGAGCCTGGACTCTAGACTACAGAGCTTGGCAGCCACGGAAATCCCAAGCCATACAAGCAGCTGATGTGCTGCCTGTTCCTGAAGAGGTCACCCTCTGACAGATAGATCCCAGAATGTCGTGGGTGTCGCATGCTGACAGAGGAGAGCCAGGCTAGGAGAGACGTCTGGTTTGTCAGGTCCAAAGGCATTGCAGAAACCTGATTACAGAGAGAGGAAATTCTCTTGGCAAGGCAGGGAAGCCTGCATCAGCAGCTCATCATTTTCATTCATTCATTCATTTGTTCATTCATTGTTCAACCAACATTTTTTTTGAGTGGTTACAGCATATGTATGAGGCACTGTTCCAGGCCATGAGAATGCAACAGAGAACAGAGTGGACACAATGCTGCCTACAGGATGTTTACAGTCTGGGGAAGGAGCTGTGGGTCTCCAGAAGGAGGTTCTAGATTTGACTCTCTGTTTTCTCCTTTGCCATTTCTGATTTGAAGAACAACATTAGAACCAAGTTGTTGCAGTCACTTTTTTTTTTAAGCAAGGCAGAATAAAATGAATGATTTATCTAAAAATGTTTTAAATATAAAAATGATGTAAAATTAGGGTTAGATTAAATAAAAAACTGAAGGTTAACTTCTTCCCAGCGGGGAAGGTAGGGGAATCTTGCCATGTGAGTCGCACACATCTGGTCATGTGCCCTCTCCCTGCAGCTTCTTTCATTTTCTGCTGGACAAAAATATTCATATTGATACTGTCTCTGACAGACGGTTTTACTTGTGAGCGTGCTAATCCAGCCAGCAAACAATGGTGGGTCACAGGTGACGTAGGAGGCCCAGCATTGGGCATGAGCAGTACAAGGGCATTAATCACAGTTCCTGTTCTCCAGGGACTCTGCGTTGTAGAGTCAAACTTGTGCCCTGACATTACAGGACAAGACATGTGAGTGTTGGAGGGGCAAAGAGAATTGAGGAGGGGAATTACTCGTGGCTGGGGGAACCTGGGCTTCCTTCCCGGGAGATGTGGTGTTTGAGTTGGGCCTTGAGGCAGGTATAATTGTAAAGCATGGGGACCTGGAGGAGGGGCATCCCACAGGAATCACAGAGGGCTCACCGAGTCAGTAAAATGCAGAGCAAGGTGAAATCCAGCAGAGAGCTGCAGAGGTGCAAGTAAGGAGCAGATGGCAACAGGTTTGAAAAAGTAGGCTGGGGCCAGGTAGAACCCTACACACCAGGCTGAATAGTTGGAATGTTATTCTTTAGGCATTGGGGAGCCATGGAAGGTTTGCGAGCCTAGGAATGATAAGACCAGAATACAATTACAACAGTGATATAGTGCAGTGTCAACAATGAATTGAAAACAGGTAGAGAACGAGGAAGAAAGATTGGTTAAGAAGTTATTACGATAATCTGAGCATGCTGGAAGCAAGATCTTGATGGTAGGAATGAGGAAAAGCAAGCCAAGTCAAATAATGTTGTACAGGAAGAACCTTGGAACTGGTCAGCTGTGGACAGGCTGTGGGAAGGGAGGACAGTGGTGTAAAGGATGGGCTCCCAGCCCAAGTGATGACTAGGATAGTGGTTCAGGTGACAGACATGGAGGAGACAGGAGGAAAGATGCCTAGGGCAAAGAAAGATGATAAAGTATGTCTAGACACATTGAGTATCTAATTTTTTTGTTTGTTTGTTTTTTGAGATGGAGTTTCACTCTGTCGCCCAGGTTGGAGCACAGTGGCACAATCTCGGCTCACTGCAAGCTCCACCTCCTGGGTTCATGGCATTCTCCTGCCTCAGCCTCCCGAGTAGCTGGGATCACAGGTGCCTGCCACCACACCGGGCTAATTTTTTGTAGTTTTAGTAGAGACGGGGTTTCACTGTGTTAGCCAGGATCTCCTGACCTTGTGATCTGCCCGCCTCAGCCTCCCAAAGTGCTGGGATTACAGGCATGAGCCACTGCGCCCGGCCAAGTATCTAATGTCTTGATGCTGAAAGGGGGAACATGAATGTAGAGAAAAGATGTGGGGATGTGGCCATTGCTTATGCTTCTGTAGTTGTTTGCTGGGCAGGCTGTTCACTGCCCCATTCCAGGAGGCGTTGTTCTGTTGAGTTTGACGGGATGGTGGCCTCTCAAGCTGTGCATGTGAAGGCCCTGTGTGGGATGGAAGCCACGTTCTGGTTGAGCTCTTGCGTCCGCTTGGCTGTGACTCATCATGATCTTTTCCTATTGCAGTTATCGCCAGTGTGACCCTTCAGAACGAAAGTTGTATGGAAAATCACCACTCTTTGGGCAGTATTTTGTGCTGGAAAATCCAGGGACCATCAAAGTGGGAGACCCTGTGTACCTGCTGGGCCAGTAATGGGAACTGTATGTCGTGGAATATTAGATGCCTTTATAAAATGTTCTCAAAAATGACAACACTTGAAGCATGGTGTTTCAGAACTGAGACCTCAACATTTTCTTTAAATTTGTGATTTTCACATTTTTCCTCTTTTGGACTTCTCGTGTCTCAATGCTTCAATGTCCCAGTGCACAAAGCAAAGAAATATAGTCTTGATAACTTAGTAGGCTTTCAGTAAGACACTTAGGTGACAAGACAGGATTCTGAAAACTCCCTGTTTAACTGATGATGGAATAGTTCTTTCTCCTGCTTTGCCATTTGTCTACCAAGATTGCAGACTTCCATCCTGTCACTACCACTCATTAGGGAAAGAGAAGAAGAGAAAGAGGAAGAGTGGGTAGGCCAGAAGAATGTCCCAGAATGTGTTATTACCCCTGTGCATGAGGTATGCAATGAAAATTAAATAGCTCCCCAAATATGGCTGGAATGTCACTTCCCTTTTCTTCTTAAGCCCTGGGCTAGCTTTTGAAATGGCATAAAGACTAAGGTGACCTTCAGGAAGCACTTCAGATATTAATTTTCCATAGATCTGGATCTGGCCCCGCTGCTTCTCAGACAGCATTGGATTTCCTAAAGGTGCTCAGGAGGGTGGTTGTGTAGTCACAGAGGACCCCTGGATCCTTGCCATTCCCCTCAGCTAATGACTGAGTGCTCCTTCTCCAGTTCTGGGTGAAAAAGTTCTGAAGTCTGTGGAGGAGAAGAAAAGTGATTCAGTGATTTCAAATGGATACTGAAAACCTTTAAAGGGGGAAAAGGAAAGCGTATGTCAGTTGTTTAAAACCCAATATCTACTTTTTTAACTGATTGCATAACTCTAAGATCTGATGAAGTATATTTTTTATTGCCATTTTGACCTTTGATTGTATTGGGAAGTTGACTAAACTTGAAAAATGTTTTTAAAACTGTGAATAAATGGAAGCTACTTTGACTAGTTTCAGATCTTACTTACTACTTGGCACAAAGTTAGACTGTGAAAGCTTACTGAGGCTGGGCACAGGGACTCATGCCTATAATCCCAGCACTTTGGAAGTCCAAGGTGAGAGAATGGCTTGAGCCCAGGAGTCTGAGACCAGCCCAGACAATATAATGGGATCTTGTCTCTACAAAAAAATTTTTAAAATGCACTGGGTGTGGTGGCGCATGCCTACAGTCCTGGCTATGGCCACTTGGGAGGATGAGGCAGAAGGATTGGTTGAGCCCAGGAGCAGGAGGTTGAGGCTGCAGTGAGCTATGATTGCACCACTACACTCCAGCCTGAGTGACAGAGTGAGACCCTATCTCTAAGAAAGAAAAAGGGGGAAAAAAAAAGAAAGCTGACTGAGGTGAATAAGCAAAGCCAATAATTCTGATGCCTGACCACAGCTGCGTCTTCTGCATAATGGAGCTGCTCACCCATAGCCTCCCAGGCAAGCACCCACCTTTGAAGGACTATCAAGTCAACATACTTTTTACCAAAAGCAGTGCATTTTTCACTTTGATTTTATAAAAGAGGTCAGTAATTGCTGAAATCTAGCTGAGCTCTGAAGTAAAGTTCTGAGCAAAGAGGTGCATGTGCTTGTTTTCTGGTTGGAGAGTTATTACAATTTGTTTTGTGCATGCTTGGCATGAGGTGAATAATTACATCATTTATCCAGAGAACCTGGGCCATCACCTTCCCCAACAAGTCCAGTTGATACTACAGATAGTTGAGACAAAGCAAAGTGTTCAGCAAGTAGCATTACTAATGGGACCTGGGGACCCGTGGGAGAGTGAGTGTACACAGGATTTAGGAAACCATGTGAATATTGGCTCTCTGGGAATAGCCAATAGGTAGGGAGCAATCAGAAACCCAAGGTCAGGTTTGGTGGCTCTTCCTAGGTATTTATAATTAGTGGCAAGTGAAAGCCTTAGTCCCGAATTTCTAATCACTTGTAAGAACTAACAGCCATTTCTCCACGGCCGATCAGTGCCAAAGGCCATACTTCAGGCAGTAACCATCATTCTCCATGGACAGGCTCTTGGGGTAGCTAGCTCTGCAGGGCAGCTCCCACATGGAAGGGAGCACCCCAAAACCCACAGGAGGCAGACCTGTCCTTCTGTGCCTCACAGTGTGAGGAAGATTCGTGTTTGAAGAGAGAAGTTCCAGTGACCTCTAGAATCTCAGAGTACTTGCCAAGCTTTCTGTCAGTGAGATTTAAAGGCCATTTACTTGTGTTTATTTTATATTTAATGAGTTGGTTAATGCCAGAGACAAAGCTGATGTCCCATTTATTTTGGATACTGAGCATTTGCACACTATTCCACTTGAAATGTAGGATCAGGAATGTAGGCCATCCCAGACTTTCACATCTTACAATAGTGAATGACAGACGTTTGGGGTCAGGCCAAAATATTCACCCTCGGTAGGCGTCTTCTCTGTGTGGCAACTTATGCTGCAGCCGCAATAGAGAATCACAGACTCGGAGCTGGAGGTCTTGAAAAGGACAATGTGGGCCAGGCTGGAGAGGGGCTACCTAAAGGCTTGCTTTTGTGACTCTTCTGCACAAAATGTTAGAAACTTGCAACCAAAAGACCAGAGCAGCAACTGATACACACGAAGGCAGAAAGAAATTGGTGGGGGGCTTATGGAATTTAGGCAGTTGTCCTACAAGGAGAAATACTCATCCTCTCCTTCTCCCGTTACTGATAACAGGGTAGGGTGAGGAGATGAGCTTGTGGAGGTCTGCCAATGTGGTAAGAGTGCATGGGGGAGGTTAGGTAAATTAGATTAGCCAAATGAGACTTTGGGAAACCATTTGTGAGGCTGTCACCAACAGTGATGGCGGACTGAAACTCCAGGCAAGTGCTCCCAGCATTCTGAGAGTGTATCAAATTAAACCAACCCATGATGGTGGAGAACAGATACATTAAAGTTCCTTGAAAGTGACAGAGTGGCTCTCAGACCAGACCTTGTTTGTGGGTATAATCGGAGTGTTGCTACCACACCCTAACACTTCATTTCCCAGTGTTTTATTGGTCCATGGAATTCTGAAAGTTTGCCTTTAGGGATGCTCCTAAAAACAATTCCATGGGTCAATAAGTTTGGAAAGTCCTTTGTGCCTCCCTTCTCTTCAGAGGCAGAAGGCTCTGGAGAGACCTTCGTGAAGGCATCTGTGTTTAATGCTGCCCTTCCCAAAAGTGTGGTTTTGACTGTCTTTTGAGAAATGATCCTCTGATCTCTAGGCAGAATGCCAGCAAGCCAAGGAATCCCAATTAGCAGGAGGGGTGCACTCATGGGAAGACTGAAGGAGTTAAAAGTTCCTGCCATGTGAAGGAGTTCTCTCTTGGGACCCTGCCCCTTGTCCTCTCCCTTGTCCCTCTTGTTGGGGTAAAAGGATGGAACTGGGACTTGATAGGTTAAAGGAGGTGTGGAGAAGTGTCTTAGACCAGCTCTTCTGTTGTAGGCCTTGGGGGAAGTACTCTCTTTCTTTGGGTTCATTTTCTAAACGTGCATTTTTGGATGGATAGGGTGGATCAGGGTGAAGGAAGGGAGCACAGACTCTCTCTAATCTTGCTCTTACAGCAATACCCGTGATGTAAATTACAACAATACCTGTGATGAAAGTGCTCCAGGATGCTTCATTCACAGGGAGGGGTGCCCTGTTTCTCTTCTGCTAGCTCCTTCCTTCCTTCCTTCCTTCCTTCCTTCCTTCCTTCCTTCCTTCCTTCCTTCCTTCCTTCCTTCCTTCCCTCTTCTCTTCTCTTCTCTTCTCTTCTCTTCTCTTCTCTTCTCTTCTCTTCTCTTCTCTTCTCTTCTCTTCTCTTCTCTTCTCTTCTCTTCTCTTCACAGTGTCTCACTCTGTTGCCAGGCTGGAGTGCAGTGGTGTGATCTCAGCTCACTGCAGCCTCCGCCTCCCAGGTTCAAGCAATTCTCCTGCCTCAGCCTCCCAAGTAGCTGGTGTGTCCAGAGTTGGTTCCTTCTGGTGGGTTCTTGGTCTCGCTGACTTCAAGAATGAAGCTGTGGACCTTCGCAGTGAGTGTTACAACTCTTAAAGGTGGCATGGACCCAAAATGAGCAGCACCAAGATTTATTGTGAAGAGCGAAAGAACAAAGTTTCCACAGCATGGAAGGGGACCCAAATGGGTTGCCGCTGCTGGCTGGGGTGGCCACCTTTTATTCCCTTATTTGTCCTGCTGATTGCTCCATTTTACAGAGCGCTGATTGGTCCATTTTACAGAGTGCTGAGTGTTCCATTTTACAGAGTGCTGATTGGTCCATTTTACAGAGCACTGATTGGTCCCTTTTACAGAGTGCTGATTGGTGCATTTACAATCCTCTAGCTAGACGGAAAAGTTTTCCAAGTCCCCACTCGACCCAGGAAGTCCAGCTGGCTTCACCTCTCACTGGGACTACAGGTGCACACCACCACACCTAGCTAATTTTTGTATTTTTAGTAGAGACAGGGTTTCACCATGTTGTTCAGGATGGTCTCAATCTCTTGATCTCTTGATCTGCCTGCCTCGGCCTCCCAAAGTGCTGGGATTACAGGTGTGAGCCACCACACTTGGCCCTAGCTTTTCCTTTGTATTGCAACTCCTCTCGACTAGTGTTGCCTTCCACCATATAAAGCAGAATTACCTCAGGGGTCCTATGGCCTTGACTCTACCTGTGTCTGCACAAAGCACTACTGTGCTTTGCTATCTGCAAGAACAGAGATTGTTTGCTTCAACCACTTTCTCTGAATGGATAAATGAATTATGATGATATCTAAAGTTACCTAATTTCAAACAAGAGGAAGAATCTGGCTCCGTACCACAAATGTTCTTGGAATTGGGATAATAAAAAAGTCCCTTAGGCATCCCTTAGTCTGCTCTGACCACACTCTCTTCTAAGGAAGAGGCTTGGGCCACAGCTCTGACAATAACCCTGCTGTCCCTCCAAACACAGCTGAGGAATTGGACGGTGGGGCACCTGCTCCCCTGCTCTACAGTCTGGCTCAGAGAGAAGAATTGCCTTAATTAGATTGTTATTCTTCCTGGACAGGCTGTAGGTTGTGTAAAGTAACAAAAAGGACTGAGAAGTGACTTCCCATTCAACCTCTTCCAAGGCCAGTTTTGATGGGCAGGTCAAGTTCACTCACATTTGACTATTTGTTGGCCAATCTAGTGCATTCACCCTTGCTGGTCCTCAGTCATCTCCTTTACCTTCAGAGAGCATTCTAGACTGCTCTTCCTCTTACCTTCCTTGTGAAACCCACAACCCCTAGTCCCTCCTCTTCCCTGGCATTTGTTATGCCCTCTACCAATCCCTGACCTGGTATTGGTCAGTCTCCAATCCTGGTGGATCCCTGTGGGAATAAGTTAAGTCTAACTTCTGTCTCCCTCTTTAGAATTTACTGGGAGTACTGTAAATAAAGTATTATTGTCATAATTGTTTCTGATTAACATTTTTACACCTAATAAAGTCTCAGAGAGATTGAATTTACTGGGTCTAGGGGAGGAGTACCTTCCACATGACCTGCCCAGCAATTAAAGCTGCTTGTTAGTCCGAGGCCCAGGACGGCCGAGGACAGCTGGAGAGCTCTTCGTTGCAGGCAGCTCTGGTTAACATCAACCAGGAAAGCTCTTTGTAAACACATGAATAATTGATCGTCCAGCGCTCACATAGCTACCGCGGATCTGAGCCCGTATGACTCATTTGCGAGCCATTCCTGTCGTCTGGATGCCATAACATTGGAGAAATGATGATCGTTTCTTGGAGGTTCTTCTGTGGCCAGAGTTGCCAAGACCAAGGCTGTAATGGTTTGTTATGATGACCTTTGTTATTCCATTAGGCTCAATTGCTTTAAAAAATGATGTGTGCATACTTTAGGAACGTTTTTACCCTTTATGTTGACCTGACATCATAGTTTATATTACAAAATGTATTAATGACAGAGGAGTGTTTTCATGTCCCAAGGACAAATTTTAACAACC